GAAGCAAATGACAGATTTCTTAACAAACGTGGGGACGATGCATGTAAAACAAGCACATATTTTATTCAGTAATACCATATATAATGCAATTGCATATCTTTGGCGAAAATAAACTTTATAAACAATTTCTGAACAGAGGTTAGCGTACAAAAACAAGGAGGGTGGTGTCTGTCTGACAGACAGGAGAGACAGTAACAAACTGATACTGAGCTGGCAGCTTGAGTCGGCGAAACGAGGGCAATACCGATCAAAACGTCACGCAGCGTCATCATCGTGAAGCCGTGTGCTTATAAACACGGTAGAAAGGGAAGGAAACTCTGAGAGCTTCCACAGCCGTGAGAGGAAAACAACACCGGCGCAGTGCTGAGGACTGAGCGGGGCTTTGTGTTCAGTGTAGTCACATTATTCAGCACTCCAGGCTAACACGCTGCCGTATCACTAAACAGGAGCGAAGACCCTCGCAGAGACCCTCACCGGAAGTCTGGCTCTGTTTCTGGCAGTTTGTTCTCACATATCAATCAAAAATACACCATCAAAACATCTGGCACTTCAAAACAAGGAACAGAAATGTCTACCTTCTGTCTCCTATGCTGTAGGCAGTAGGGCTGAACGATTAATCACCTTGTTATATCGGAATCGCGATACGAAAGAGTGCACTTTTTAAATCACAAGAGCTGTAATTTTTATAATATTCAATATTATTCAATGCTGTCTCAGGTTTTAAGTGCGGAAATTTAACCTAACTTAACACAGAGCTTGTAAACAGTGGCAGTCTGACACACGATAATCAACGTGCTGATCTTCTTGAGGGGGGAAAAAGGCCTGGATCTTAAAGAGGCGCTCCACCCATTTTTCAAAATTTCTGCATAATTAAATGGTTAAGATGTAAACAGAGGTTCAGAGTGGTTTGGTGTGAAACGCTCCGTTCTAGAGAAACCAGAACTGTTCACAGTGGTGGTGATAGGAACCAGACGTCCACCTCTAAAAGCTCCCTCACAGAAAGTTCCTACATGAAATGGTTATGGATTCACTGCCTGATGACTGAGACACTGTTTTATGATAGTTTTATGATAACAGAGGGATACATGCAGGGTGTTATAAGGCAAAATAGTCCCCAAAGAAAACGTATTATTTCAGATTTTCCACTATTTTCCATCATCAACATTCCATATAAACTCAGAAGACTCGTGCAGGTTCACTGGTGTGAGTCGGAGTCTCTACAATCAACCATTTCACACCAAACCACTCTGAATCACTCTGTTTACACTCTGTTTCCCCTTTAATGTATAGAAAACTATTGCATTATTCGTCAGAAAATCACAATTAGCTACTTTCCCCAAATCGTTCAGCCCGAGTTGGCAGTCCACAAAAACATAAATGACAATTAACTTACATTAAAATCATCGGGGTGAACAATTAGTTCGGGATGATTTTAGCAGTCTCGCACGATCTCGTAAGGAGGACGTCCGGAAGCAGCTGTGACATGTTTTGGGCTAAATGTGGGGGAGTGTAGACTTATTAGGGTGGAAACAAATAGTGTGACATTTCTAAACCAATCCAACGACTTGTAAAGGTGGAGCTCACAGTAGGGGGCGCTGCTGATCTCATCGTTGGCACATGGGTGTATCATAAGTAGCACGGCTGAAAAGCCTCCCAAAAAACTCCACTTAAAACTACAGAAGTCCAGAGAGGCCATGAAGTGGTTAAAATTTTCTGATCTTGTGATCTCAAGATAACAGAAGTTATCATCTTGAGATCGCAAGATAATTAAGTCATGATCTCAAGATAACAATCCAGAGAATTATAGCCACAGTCCACGGCCTCTCCGGACTTCCGTAGAAAACAGCTCTGTTAGTTAACGATGACGTCTCACTAGCGAGCTCGTTCTACTTGTAATAGACATTAAAGAGGATTAGAGGAGTTTGGGGGCGGGGTTTATAGGGGGGTACCCCTGTTAACACCACAGTCCAGCACCAAAACTTAAACAAGTTGTCCCCAGTAGGGCTGAACGATTAATCCTTGTTATATTGAAATTTGAAAGAGTGCAATTTTTTAAATTGCGAGTGTCAGAACTTTAAAATCATCCTACATTATTCAAAGTTACCAGTGAGGACATTTAACAACATGAACTTGAAGTCTGGCACAGTAGATTACGCGAAAAAACCTTAATTTATAGAAAATAATCGCATTTAAATCACATAACGCTGTTCAAAAACCAAGGATTCGGCGCTCGTCCTCAGACGTGTGCTCTCGGCACGAGATCACGTCCAGTCTGCGGTTCTATCAGCTCGTTTTTTTAGAAAAAATGGCACCAGAACACACAGTCTGTCACACTTACTGAGCAGAAAGGGCAGTAAAGGGTTTGGCAGTAATCAGAAGGCAGGGCACCAGCGACAGAACACTTGGAACGTGAACCTTTATCACTCGTACTGGGCTCTGCGCTGCTGAGGGAAAATAAGCCCGTCATTTCTGCCAATATTGGGAGAAACACAGCGTTAACTCAACAGGCTTTACTTGTGGCAGTGATTAAACTGTTTTTGGCACAGGTCATGCATTTCAATCGAACCGGCCTCAGGCTTTACAATCACTGCTGCACTCGTCTGCAGCTCTCTTTAGGAGCGTTATTTCCTGGAGGGACGTCTATGATGGTAGAAACGAGAGCCGGCACCACGGATCGGTAAAATACTGACCTCACACTCAGACACTGAGCCTCCTCTGCGTTATCTGTGTGCCTTTAGCGGCCTGACGGGATTCGTTTTACATGGGAAGGTGGGGTAACGTAATTTTACCACAATGTTTATGATCAATTCACACTGGATAAGAACTATTTATGCTCTGCCTTAAGTAAGACACACTCAGCTGCTCACAAGTAGAACGTACAAAGATTTTATTTACCTTAATATCTACCTGGCTGTCTTATCTGAACACAACTGTGGAATAAATTAAATTATTAATTAAAGTCGAGGGCACTACAATATATTGCAGCTTGATTTGGTCTACAGAGAATACAAGTAAACACTTCTTTGCGCCTTCATACTGAAGAAAAACCTCGGAAAAACACTTTCTCACAGGATACGACGGAATATTTTGTGATCTGACGGTTTGCACGGGATTAATATAACCTGGGATTATATCTAAGGTTTGCTTTACAGCACCGGATTAATATAATCCAGGATTATTTCAATGGTTTGTTTTACAGCATGGGATTAATATAACCTGGGGTTATTTCTAAGGTTTGTTTTATAGTGTGGGATTAATAGAACCTAGGGTTATTTCTACTTTTAATTTATAGCACGGGATTAATATAACCTGGGATTATTTCTACAGTTAATTTTACATGAGATTATTTTAACCTGATGAAATAGCTTTTATGGTTTGTTTTGAAGTGAATCTTTACTGAGGCAGAAGCGTGATGGACATGGCGAATTTGGACAAGACTAAAATCACTGAGAAACATCAGTAATGATTACATTACCCCTCCTTAACATGTAATCCTGTCCCAATAGTGCTTTCGTTTCAGATGAGCTGAATTACAGACAAGAGAAAACTAAACAACAGCTATCATTAATCTGGCTCCTCTTTTAGGCGTTGCCCCTTACATAGAGGTGGGCAACATGGCAAAATGTAACATCATGATACTTCAATACATTTTCACAACATGTGATATTTAGTTTTTCTGAGGTTTGAAAAGCTGGAAAAGACAAAAAAAAGAACCAGAAGTGCCAAAAAAGTACAGAAACTACGAACACAAGGGTTTCACATTCTGCGCTGCACTAAATCCAGTGTACCAAAAACAGACATGATTAAACAGGCTGTTTTGCTACTGGGGCTTTAAGACTGACATATGCAAATGAGCTCTGTTCTGATTGGCTGCCCTATATTGAACCAGTAGTGCCACATATAATTAATTATATTCAACGTTTTTCCCTAAATCCAGTTAAACAGGACTAATTATGCTCTCGTTAACATCCAGTAGTCAAGTACTGATGACGTCCACAATAAACTCAGAAAAACATCCTGTCGTGACGTAATTTATCTCGATGATGATAAATATCGTCATATTGCCCACCTCTACCCTTACAGTGAGAGAGAAACAATGATAAGCGCTACAAACAGGACCCCCAAAAATCAATATGGATTTGTCTCTGATAACAGAACTCTACTGTGCCTAAGGGAAACGGTCACGCGTCTGATCAACTGGACTCGGACGCAAGAGATCTGATGGTTGGGACGTGCAGTCATGCGCACGTTACACAAACACGCTCACACAAATATATACATACGTTTAAACAGAGCTACCACGGCTGCCGTTTTTTGCATAGGTTGTAAACAGACAGGAAAAGGAAATCGCTGCTGAGATCAGTTTCAGTTTGCGCACAAAACACTGACAAAGAACAGGAAGAGAAAACACCAGTGGGAGAGAAAGAGGCAGGTTCATGTGACCATAATGTGGAATTCTTCCCTTAAAAGGGGAACTCCATCATTTTTTTTCAAATTTCCTGCATGATTAAGTGGTTAAGATGCAAACAGAGTGGTTCAGAGTGGTTCAGAGTGGTTTGGTGTGAAACGCTCCGTTCTAGATAAACTTACTGAGTCAGAATTGGTGATAGGAACCAGACGTCCACCTCTAAAAGCTCCCTCACAGAAAGTTCCTACATGAAATGGTTATGAATTCACTGCCTGATGACTGAGACACTGTTTTACAGTAGTTTTGAGAAGATTCTGATTGTAAAACATATTTTTAAATGGTCGGGTTGATACATGCAGGGCGCTGTGAGGCAAAATAGTCCCCAAAGAAAACTTATTATTTCAGATTTTCCACTATTTCCCATCATCAACATTCCATATAAACTCAGAAGACTCGTGTAGGTTCACTGGTGGTTCTGGATAGTAAATAAAATGTCTATATTTGTGTTGTAGTCATGGCGACCCCTGGTTCCTATCACCACCACTCTGAATGACCTTGTTTACATCTCAATGCAGAAATTTTGAGAAATTGGTGGAATTCCCCTTTAAGGTAACAGGCTCTATGTTAAACCAGTTTCCCAATTTTAACTGACAGTCCAGGAACTCCATGTCTTCTTCAGTGTCTTCTTGATGTCTGAGACGAAGAAACTGATCAGAGACGAGCTTTATAGCCAACAAGGAATCCCAAAAAAAAAAGCCATCGATTCACAGCACTGATTCCTAAAACACCGGCACACTGGCGGGGGAACCAAAGCAGAACATCCTCGTATCTGAACGACGAAAATGAACAGCGCCAACAGGAATGAAGTCTGATGATAATTATTGCATCTCTCTTTGTATGACAGAAGAAGACAGAGGACACTTGGGCTGAGGTCTACTAAAAAAATGTTTTTGGAGTTTCTCCTTTTCTTCTAGTGCTTAGTAATTCAAAAGTGGGACAAAGGAGTGGTTAGTTCCATGTACGTTTTAGACATGCACTCGTTCTCTCTATCAACACCACAGGTTCACTTGGAAAAAGGAGGACACTGATTTGAAGAGGAAGCATGCAAAGAAGTTACACTGAAGGAAAAAAAAAATTAGAAAAGAAAAACCCTTCCGTTCGGAGAAGCTTGATCCTTGACTTTCAGGGAGGAGGGCCACGTCTGACTTCCCGGAAATGCGCACCTACTTTCAGGACAGGTATGAAAATCTTGCTTGTCTCACACAAAAGGCTTCGTATGGCTTAGTTCTCCTGCGTGAATGGTACTATTGCCGTAGCTTGAGCTGGAGAGATGGGGGGGATTCTCTTAAACGAAAAACAATGGGTCCAACACAAAAGAGGGGAAAATAATAAAGAGTCTCATTGATCAGGAAAAGAGAAAAGGAAGAGGCACGGTCACCGCGACACAGTCCAGGGGTCGGGAGAAGGGGTGAGTGGAGCGCAGAGTCTGCCTCATTTCCGAAGCTTTTCTGTTTTTTTGCTCTTGGCGGTCGCGGCGGCGCGCTTCGACAGGTCCAGGCAGGAGCGGATTCCGGCCAGGTGCAGGAGGGACCCGGCCGCCTCCTTCAGCTCGTCGTCCAGCTCGGGCCTGGCCTCGCACCGCGCCCTCTTGCAGGGAGGGGCGGCCGGGCGGCGGGGGCTCGGCGTGGGCCGCCGAGGGCCGCGCTCCTCCTCCGAGTCCTCGTCGCTGTGGAAGCCCTCGCTGCCCGCCCGCCGGACCTGAGCTGAGTCACCACCGCCGCCACCGCCCTCTTCTAGGGAGGAGAGCGAGGGAGAGGAAGAAGAGGAGGAGGAGGAGGAAGAACGAGAGGAGCAGCGCTGAAAGGAGGAGCTGCTGTAGTTGTGGTCCTGCTTGGGGTCGCTGCTCACCAGGACCGAGTCGGGCCGGGACAGATCCATGGGGCCGTCTGGGTCACCTGAAATCGAGAAAGAAAACGAGCGATAATCAGTTTGTGAGACCTACAGGAAATCCAAAACAGGGGTTCAGTCATATGAGGGCTTGCCAGCTAACATTCACTAGCAAGACTGCATTAGTTCTGATGGAATTTGCCGCATTGAGCTATTTGTGTCTCGAACTTTGGATTTGCATCTTCGAAAAGTAGCGCTAAAGTTTTGGCTTTGTTGACCTCTGAAGGGCTGGAGCTTCTTAAACACCAATTTAACCCAACATTAGGTTAAAACTAATCTAATGACGGACCTTTTAACATTTCTTCCCCTCTGGATAAAGTTCTATGCAAAGCTTTGTTTACCCCCAGCCAAATACCATGTTATGTTTATTTTCTAAGTGAAACAGCAGGGATGTCCAATCTTAATCTACTTAATCTACTAACCAGTGCGATTAAACCAGTGGAATCCTGCTTGATTGGAATGAAAACCTGCAGCCACAGCAGCACTTTGAGGATACCTGGACACCCCTGCTCTACAGGGCACTCAAATACACCATTTTTCTTTTCACAAATTCTATTTATTCATTCAACATACTGAAAAAAAAATATATATAAAATGTGCCATAACTTTTGCACAGGCCACATTTTATGCTTTATCTTCCCCCCACCAGGGTGTTAAATTCAGTAAATAAGCAGTAATTATGCGTTAAAACGTGCAGAAGTGTGTCTCTGTAGAGGACATGTTACTAATTTACACCTAGAAAATCAATAAAACCAGTCATTTAAACAGGGGTGCCCAAAGTCTGGCATGCAATGTGCAATGAGTGATTGCATGATATGCAGTCAGTCAGAAGACTGTATTATCTTCACTTTTGTGGTAGGTAAGTTAGCCAGCTTGTTAACTATGCTATGTATGCTATGTTAGCTTCTTGGCTAACTGCAGCTGCCCGCTGCTGCCAACCACACCAGCTATCTACACTTTTTTACTACAAGTATATAATTTATACACCCTTACATAAACTTCCAGCAGCACTGCTGTGTCTGATCCGCTCGCACCATCGCAACACACACTAACACACCACCACCACGTCAGTGTCACTGCAGTGCTGAGAATGATACACCACCCAAATAGTACCTGCTCTGTGAGGGTCCATGGGGGTCCTGACCACTGAAGAACAGGGTAAGAAAGTATGCAGAGAAACAGATGGACTACAGTCTGTAACTGTAGAACTGAAATGGACGATGAGTGTAGATACAAGGAGGTGGACTTAATATTATGGCTAATTTGTGTATATCGCCATAGATTGCAAACTATTTTATTTAAGAACATAATCTTTCCCGAAAATTTCAGAACACAAGTCGACAAACGCGATGACCTCAAAAACACTTCAACCAAGGCCCCTCGATTAAGAGCTCTTCTGATCGCACGCTTGGCTGTGAGAGTGATTAAGCTTCATTAGAGCTCCAGAAGACTACAGTGATACGCTTAATGAGGATAAAGATGCGTGAAGAGAGAGAGCAATGCTGCACTAATTAGGCACAAGTGGTTTAAAGGCTATAGCCTGCATCCAAGATCTTAAAAACATCTGACGAGATTTAAAGGTCCAGTGTAAAATATTGAAAAATATTGTAAGATACTAAACTGTAACTGTATTATAGTTATATGACACATTCAGCAAAGTTTAAACAACATAAATAAGAAAATCTAATAAAACAGGATGAGAACTGTGTGGGTGTGGCCTAATATTCTAACGAGCAGTGTGATTGACAGCCCTCAGTCCAACACTCTCAGCCTGCGAGGCAGAGAAACGGGCTCTACATATACAGGTGGTGCTATAGACCCTGTAGGTTTGGTTTTTCACACCACTGTGTGTATATATATATATATATATATATATATATATATATATATATATATATATATATATATATATATATATCTCAAATAACATTAAATCATTTCTTAAATCATTTCATGCTCTACTAGAACAGATTTAGATGCTTCAATGTTCCAAAAACACATATTTTCCTCATACTGTTCCACTCCATTCACCCTCTGTCTGAAACGCTCTGTTAGAGCTCCTTTGTCTTTAAGCCCCGCCTCCTGATGAGCCCAGTGTGCTCTGATTGGTCAGCTCGCACACTCTGTTCTGATGGGTCAGACTCCAGAGTTGTTCTGCCCCTCCAGGTTCCGCCCCTGTCCTGCAGTCTGCAGACAGACCCTTCTCTCCTGAGCAGCTGTAACTCCGCTGTGGCTGTTTCTCCAGCGGCGCCGGTTCTGCCGGATCTGTTTGATCCAGAGTGGATCCTGAAAGTCCGGCCAGCGTCTCCACACACTATAGCACTGAACACACTCTTCCTCCTCCAGTAGCCGCTGTGCGCTGTGTGAGGGGGCGGAGCTTGCCGGTAGGCGGGCAGTAAGGACTGTGGTATGAGATGATGTCATCCTGTAACAAAGGAAAAGGGCTGGAATTCCAACGAGGCGTTTCAGGCAGCTGAGAAAAGTGGGTTCTGTGGGAGAGAGTGTCTCCCTCTGGAGGGAACGCTGAGCTTTGGGACTCTGCAGAACGTTTACATGCACAAAAAGATACAACACTAAAGGAAAGAGAAGAACTGGAAAAGCATAACAGCTCCCCTTTAAGACTTTTCCGAAGAACTGTACAGATGTATGCAGAAGTTTAAAAAAACTTAAATATGCCATCAAATTGGCATGGCATTGTTCAAATTTTAATGCACCGTTTCTGTTTATTTGTATATTTAGTTTAACATACTGGAAAAAATAAAACAAAAAGATATAAAATGTGCCATAAAGTTTGTACACGAAACAATTCGTTTTATTTTTTCCTAATATGCTACATTCAGCAAATAAACAGTAATTGTGTACTGAAATGTGTGGAAGTGCGTCTCTGTAGAGGATGTGTAACTTATCTTCTCTCAGAAAACCAACAACATGTAACTTGAACAGACTTTTTCAAACACCGGTATTTCACCGCCTCACTAAACTGAGCAGAAATAAGATCATTTCAAACTAGCTTTATAACACTTTCACTTATTTGAAGATGTTCTGTGTTTCTTTCAGAAACACGTTCCTGTTTATCGTTTGGGAATGTGACTGTTATAAACTAGAGCCAGCACGACTGATCTGTAGGTCCTGAGTGCTGCTGTACGCCGTCTCAGATTATGTGCATATCATGTGAGATGGAGGTCATGTGTTTCAAACAATAACTGCATTCTTATGGACAGATGCCTGTAGGGCGAAAGAAACACAGTGCTGCTAAGCTGATTTCACAGAGCTGAGTGCAAAGATTTGTTGGTCACTTGATTTAATCGGACCTTTTTAATCAAAGACGTTTAGAACCAAGCACAAAAACAAGCACCTGTGCACTGGTACCTTATTTACATATCATTTACATCGGAAACACCCCACCTTGCTCTCGTATAACTATAATTGTTCAATATCCGTTTTGAAATCTTTCAAATTTTCGGGAACTCACAATAGTGAGTCTTTAATGCGGAGTATTAATTCTAATTATGTCAAGAAATCTCAGCAAATGTTGTTTTTGAGACCCGAAATCCCCCGGCGGTATTCGGGGGTCCCGTGTTGTCTGTCTGCTACCTCTCTCTCCATAGTGGCGCTGATGCTTCAGTGTCAGTAAATGTCTGTTTTATCAGCTGTTCTTCTGTAGAGTCTCTGTTCTAGTGCGGTTCTGCGCTCTTCCTCACAGTAACTGAGATCTTCCTCGTCTCCTCTTCTGTAGAGTCTCTGTTCTAGTGCGGTTCTGCGCTCTTCCTCACAGTAACTGAGATCGTCCTCGTCTCCTCTTCTGTAGAGTCTCTGTTCTAGTGCGGTTCTGCGCTCTTCCTCACAGTAACTGAGATCTTCCTCATCTCCTCTTCTGTCTTCAGTGTGAGAAATGAGGAACAGTCACTCTTCACTCCAAACTCTTGGGAAACTGGGCGAGTTTTCAGATTTACAGATCTGCTGCAGCTCATTGTAAAGTGTTTCAGAGGAATCCGGGCAGAGTTACAGTTTCTAGGCTATGAAGGACCAACTGGGTGAACCGGTCTGCTACAGCGCCACCCTGAGGCAGAGCAGTGCTGCAGCTCTAGTTAGTTAAGAACACCAGAGACAGAAGCTGATTGTGGGGGAAGCACATAAACAATGACAGCATAGCGTTATAACAAGTTTATTTTCAAGAGCTTAATTAGGGGGTTCCGGACCCTCCAGGACCCCCTGTGTTTTGCAACTTGATTGTAAGTAAAGCTTCAAAGATAACTATAATATTGTTTCCAACAGTTGACTGTTTATCCTCACTGCACTCTTAAGCGAGCAAAGAGAATAATTACAGATTCCTCTCATCCAGCGAAACATCTTTTCCAGCCACGTCCTTTTGGGAGGAGCTACAGATCTTTAGAACAAAAAAAGAGCTTTTTTCCTTTTGCGATAAGGTTACTAAACTCTTCTGAGTACTGTTTATCATTACAGTCTCTCTGTAATATTCCCAGCCTTTGTAAGAACGCAGATGAAATTACTGTGTAATTTTCCATGATTCTCTATAATAAATGTTATATATTGTGTATTGTTTACTGTGTGTCGCTGTTGTCAAAACAAAGTCTCCTATGCCCAAAATGGTAACTTTACAGGAGAAGGAATAAACATACATTTCTTTTAATGCAAGTCAGTGTAACTAGACTTTTTTCCAAGTAATTCTGGGCCGTTTCTTTTGGTCCATTCATCCTGAAATTTACACACAATGTAAAGAGCAACAGGCTTTTTTTTAATTATGTCAGAAACTGAAATATGGGTTTTGTTCTGACAGCAGCGATATGTATTATACTGTGCGCTTATGGTTATTGTGCTACAACACAGTTAAATTACATCTCGATACATCGGATACAATTACCACCAACATGTCGTGTGGCAATTAAAGAATCAATCAATCAATCGATGTAAATGAAGCTCACCATAATTCATACAGATGTTTCAATAATGAGCCAATCAAAGACAAGTATTCAGCCGCTCATGAGCCGACGGTTATTCTCATAGGCGGAGTTTGCGGTTGTACAGGAGGTGCACTGCTCCTCCTACTGGCCAAAGCTTGAATAGCTTTACAGTATTAAAATGACAACGACTGAAAAGAATAAAATATGAATTGATCAAAATGTAGCCTTTCATATTGCGAAGTGATGATTATTTTAATAAAACACTGACTGCGCTCTGTTACTGCAGTATAGGATCTACTGTACTAGATAAGCTGTACTGTAGAGAGATTATTTACTGTAAGTATAAAGCAGCACAAACATCTTTAACCTCTTATTCTCCTGGGTATATTTCGGTTTGTCCATCTAAATTTACATGCCGAAATCGTACGGCAAATTATTCAGTAACTGCACGAAATAAATGTACATATATATATTTTTTTTTTGGTAAAAGCTCCCCTCTAATTAACAGGAAATGTGTTTTATGATCATAAACATATTGCTATATGCTTACAATTTAATGCTTAAAGCCAAAAATCTTAGATGCTCTTTGTATTTTTTTAAAAAAATATATTTTTTTACAGAGCAGATCACTGAAGAGACGCCATCTGAGATCCAGTTTGTAGCTCAGATTTGTGGAAAATGGTCGACTTTCAGTACAAAAAAAAAAATTGTGAGTTCAGCTTCTTTTATTATAAGGGTTCAAAATGACATCACCCATCTTTTTGACTGGAAAGAAGACAGTTACAGCTCTCATACGACCCCCACCTTCTGAATGTAGCTTATGAAATATGAGAGTTATGAAGTAAAGAATGATGAAGTGTGTTTTGGAACCACCAGTGGTTCCAAGGAGTTAAAAAGTTTACATGGAATGTAAAGTTGCAGCGTTTGTGAAAATATCTAGATCCACTTTAGTACAAGAATTGCTGAGCACAGTAATTAGTATATCATTATTGTTTTCTGTTTTTACTGTTAATGCATATATTATGAGGGTTATTAACAATAATTTTGATTAACTGCTAATCAGGCATTTTTCAGGCTGTTAAACTAGTGTGCTCAAATTACGGACTCCTACCAGATGCAAGTTCAATCGTACAGATGTGCCAAAGATGAAACTGATGGATAACAAAACGGTGCTTATTGAATGATCAGATTTGACCGTATGCAGCTTTGATGAATGTGTGAGTGGCAGTGATGGAAGAGGATCAACAAAAGACAGCAAACAAGAACAAAGGCCAGGGGCCGCAGAGAAGAAAAAGGGAAGAAGGTTTCTCTTACACGGGCCGGCGTGGTGACCAGGGGCGGAGTTTAAGAGCATCATAGCAGTGGCAGCGTCAATGTCAGATTCTGGAAAAGGAGAGAACATGCACAGCATTCAGCAATCTGAGCTCTGAGTGAGTGGTATGAGAGGGGAATCGGGGGGCTGGGGTTTCTCAGTTCCCATGCCACCCTTCAGGAAACCTGAATTATTCATTAGCAACCAGATAGAGGAGAGTGAACTGGCTCCGTAGTCAAGGTTACAGAGAGGGGGCACAGACCGAGAGAGCTGTAAGACACCACTGTGTGAGACCACAGTGAAGAGTCTGCTGAGACCCAGGCAGGTCCAAACATTCACTTCTAAAACATGCAGCACGCATGCAGTCATGTGTGTCTACATTACTGGACGCTTAAAGGGGAATTCCACTGATCTCTTCAAAATTTCTGCATAACTGAGTGTGTGAGATGTAAACAGAGTGATTCAGAGTGGTTTGGTGTGAAATGGCCACAAATAATAGCCATTTTATTTACTACCCAAAACCACCAGTGAACCTCCACGTGTCTTTGAGTTTATATGGAATGTTGATGATGGAAAATAGTGGAAAATCCGAAATAATTTTTCTTTCAGGACTATTTTGCACCGTGAATGAAAGTTTAAGACCAAAATATTCTCAAAACTATCATGTGTAGTTTTCAACAGTGTCTCAGTCATCAGGCAGTGAATTCTGTGAGGGAGCTTTTAGAGGTGGACGTCTGGTTCCTATCACCACCACTGTGAACAGTTCTGACTCGGTAAGTTTCTCTAGAACGGAGCGTTTCACACCAAACCACTCTGAACCGCTCTGAACCACTCTGTTTACATCTTAACCACTTAATTATGCAGGAATTCTGGAAAGTCCACCTTAAATGCATTACAGATAGGCTAAAGCAGTGGTCTCCAACCCAGATCCTGGAGATTTACCTTCCTAATTCCACCCACGATCAGCCACACCTACTCTGGACAATTAACATCCCTTATTGGCTGTTAGGTAAGGGGGTGGAGCATATTAGAAACAGGGTGGAACTAAACTCTGCAGCAAAGTAGATCTCCAGGAGCTGGAATCTCAAAGCCTCAGTGAGTTCACTTACGACAGCTGTCAGAATGACCTTATGACCCTCTTAACCTAGGACCACTCTGTGACCGGCTAGTGACCTTCCCTCTGAATTATTCACAAAATGAAAAAAAAGCATCTATTTTTCTATATGTGAGACAGAGCCGGGTAATATGACAAGATTTATTGTTATTATGCTAAATATGTTAAGTTATGTCACAGTAATACTAAACAAACGGCATGTCTGATTATGAACACAGCTTAATTAGTCCTGTTTGGTTAGATTTAGTCTAATATCTTGTGTGAAATCTTGAATAAAAATCATAGTATTCATAGTTTTTGATAGTACACATTATGTAAAAGGGGTAAAAGGGGGCTAACAAAGTATCAGAGAAACAGATGGACTACAGTCTGTAACTGTAGAACTACAAAGTGCACCTATATAGTAAGTGGAGCTGATAAAATGGACAATGAGTGTAGAAACAAGGAGGTGGTCAGACTGTTATGCCTGATGGGTGTATGTATATAATGTTCACAGTGTTTACAAAAAATCAGTAGTGCCCAGGCTTGTTTGTTTTTTTTTTTGTCTTATTAAATGTTAGAAGGATCATCATGACAGCTTCCAAAAGCAATACTTCATTTTGAGTAATTCCTCAAATACACTGTTTAATTTCAACATGTATTCCAAACACTAAGGCACATTAAACACCTTCTTAAATGTATTTGATAAACACTTTAATCATATAGATTTTTTTTATTTCTTTTGTAAAAGAAGAACAGGATATGCGAAGGCAGTGGTGCAGGGCTCCAGAATGACATTTCCCAACCCTCCCAGGACAAAAGATATCGCAAAGGACAATGTTTAGACCCTCTGTGACACTTCAGGGACGACTGTGTGCGTCAACACAACACTTAACGTCTAAAACATACAGTCAGAAATTCATGAATGTGCCATCCATTCACATCCGCCCTAAATTTAGCAACATTTAATCCAGAAACTGTGTTTAATCAATTTTCTCCTGCTAGCACAACGCTAATTTCCATTAGCCTGCCAATGGAAATTCCTCTGTGATATTAGCATCAGGCTAACAACTGTGTCTACTAAAATGTTTTTAGGCATGAACTGTCCCTGCGATTTTACACTCATTAAAGACCCATTCAAACAGCTTCAACATTTGATTTTCCCCAAATCTATACAACCCTTTCATTCATCTATCAGGCATAACATTCTGACCACCTCCTTGTTTCTACGCTCATTGTCCATTTTATCAGCTCCACTTACTATATAGGTGCACTTTGTAGTTCTACAGTTACAGACTGTAGTCCATCTGTTTCTCTGATACTTTGTTAGCCCCCTTTTACCCTGTTCTTCAGTGGTCAGGACCCCCATGGACCCTCACAGAGCAGGTACTATTTGGGTGGTGGATCATTCTCAGCACTGCAGTAACACTGACGTGGTGGTGGTGTGTTAGTGTGGGTTGCGCTGGCGTGAGTGGATCAGACACAGCAGTGCTGCTGGAGTTTTTAAACACTATGTCCACTCACTGTCCACTCTATTAGACACTCCTACCTTGTCAGTCCACCTTGTAGATGTAAAGTCAGAGACGATAGCTCATCTGCTGCTGCACAGTTTGTGTTGGTCATCCTCTAGTCCTTCATCAGTGGTCAGAGGACGCTGCCCACAGGATGCTGTTGGCTGGATATTTTTGGTTGGTGGACTATTCTCAGTCCAGCAGTGATACTGAGGTGTTTAACAACTCCAGCAGCACTGCTGTGTTTGATCCACTCAGACCAGCGCAACACACACTAACGCACCACCATCACGAATGAACAATTAAAGCTTGTAACACACTTTCAAGTAACACTTTGTACGCTTGTGTTTTAGAGCCTGTAATCTGGCTGAATATTGTGCTACTGTTTACAGACTGCAGTCTGGTGCCTGTTGTGTTCAGTGAGTAGCCAATGACATCACACAGCTCTCATCATTTAACCCTTTCAGACCCAAATTATGTCAAAAAGGCACAAAAATAGGATTCTGCTCTATTCTTATTCTAAAGGCAGCCATAAACGATTATAAGTATGAATAACTTTATAATTCATAATATTTTTTATTTATAATATCTTTTCATATCGTTGGCAGCTCAGAGTGCTTTACAAACAGGCGATACAGCTCAACAATAATAGGAGAAATTATGAGTATTTAATTAAATTAATATAACAGACAGATTAAATTAAAAAAGATAAACAATAAAGCTCTGGACTGTAACTGCTCAGAGATTAGATTATGAACAAAATTGGGAAGGGGGGGGGTATATAATCAATAATCCTGATTTTATTTTTGCTGTTCATTTTTAAACATCGCCCAGGCTTGGCTCAAAGTCACACAATGCTACTGTACACTCCAGAAAAGATGTTTCTTAAAGGGTTCTTTAGTGAAGAAACTGGTTTTATACAGAACCTTTTTGAGGAGGGTTCTATATAGCACCCAAAAGGGTTCTTCTATTGTCACAATGTCAAACTAGTAACAATAAAAGAAGCCTTTTGGGTGCTACATGGGACCCTTTCCAAAAAGGTTCTATATAGAACACATATACAACACATTCTTAATCAATCTGAAGAACCATTTCATGATGCAAAGAACCAATTAATCATGCAAAGGGTTCTTTGAGTGTTCATGGTTCAATATAAAACCATTTTCTTTACTAAAGAACCATTGAAGTACCATCTTTCTTAAAAGGGCAGTTCTACCAAAACAAGTTTTGAGAGCACTTTGAGTTCTTGTCCTTGTCTTTCCTGAAAGTTTGGCTGCAAAATATGCTTTCTTTATATATAAGTAGTTTCTTTATATAATTTTAACATTAAATACTTCAAACTCATTTCTTTGAGGATTTAAAACAGAGTAATACTTTAAATCTCAAGTCTGTATGTCTGCATCTTCTCTTAATTTCCTGTTTTTTAATCAGGATCCACCAAGGCTACATTCAAAACAGTCATCACACATTACAGTTTTAGCAGTTCTACAGGGTGAATCAAAAAGATTGATCCGATTTCAAAGCGCCATATTTTTACAACCGTGAGGCGCAGAGGAACCAATCACAATCCAATTGAAAGAGGGGGTCATAGAGTTTCTGACTGTCAGTGGAAGATGGCTCCTTCAGTCTGAGAGGAGATGAGACCCCTGAGCAGAAAGCGTTCTGCGTTCTCCACTTCAATAAGAGTGAATCCGTCAGAACTGTGCAGTGTGATTTTTGTGGGCAGTGAAGCTCCAACAGCTCAGAGCGTTCGGCGTTGGTTCCACAACACTGGATGATCTCCGAAATCGCACTGAAAGAGCCGTGAGTGCAGCGACACCCGACATGCTCAATCCAGTATGGGATGAGTTTGACTATGGCGTTGATGTTGTCTGTACAGCTGGAGGAGGTTCATACTGAGACCTTGTACAATTAAATAATAAACTTTACGCTCATTTAAACCATTTACAGTTTACTGCATTGATCTGTAAAGATTTACAGGTGAAATAAATCATTTTGAAATCAGATGAATCTTTTAGAATCACCCTGCATTTCAAACTTTCCTAATAAACTCATTTAAATAACATAAGCTCCATATGTTCTGCAATCTTTTCCACAATAACCACAAGAATAAGTAAATGGATGTGTTTAATAATGCATGTTATTCCAGCTCTGTGAGCAGTTAATGTGCAGAGCTTTTTCATGCCTGAACCAAAAACACTCTTTACTGTTAATGTGTTAATGTTTAATGGTGTTTATTAGTCACAGAACTGCTAAACTGCTCTAAGAGGAACTTCTGAGCCCTTTATAACTATGCTGTTAAACACTGGTGCACACCTAAGATCACTGTTACGTGCAACAACGGAGCGCACCAGTGACCACAATGTAAACATCATTTAATGTGTTTGATTGATATGTCAACACAATTAAAAGTAATCATTAAAACCATGTTTGATTACCATGATCGCAGAATTTGAATGCACTGGTGGCCTTGACGTTATGACAATGAGTGAGTGTACATGCACTGAATAGTCCGATCATAATCAGATTTCTGCAGTTATCTGATTATTCAAATGGTCATGTAAACACCATACTCCGATCTAGAAATCTGATTAAGGAATCTGATAAAGAGGCTGGATTTTAGCTCAGTAATCAGATTTCTCAGTGCATGTAAACTCTTACTCTGATTTCTATCGGATTTCTCAGTCTGCACATGCGCAAGATCAGACGATGGATGTCGCAAGACGCAGCAAAACACTGCTGGAGCGGCGCTGAAACCAAACATGAAATAAAGGATTAAATATTCTTCATCTTCTAGGTGATGTTTGTTTATATTTTCAGCGATGTTTAAAAAAAGCCGCGGTATGAAGTTTGAGTTTTACGTTACGTTTACATCTCGTCGTCTTCTGTGAGTTTATTGGCTGGTTGTAAAGCAGAAATCTGATTACTGTCTGACTCATGTAGACCCAGAATTTCCCCATTATGTGATTACTCAAGAGCATGTATACATGTTGATCGGATTACTGACAAAATCTGATTTTCTGCAGTTATCGGATTATTGAGTGTATGTAAACACACTCAGTGATGCAGTGTTTAAAAGTGTAAACGTTATCTGTAAAGTGAACAGTTATCTGTAAAGTGAACAGTTATCTGTAAAGGGTCGCTTCTCTGTTTCAGCTCCATTAGCGATTCCAGAGAGCAGCACTTCGAAATAGAAAATGTCACAGCTCAGCTCAGAACATGAAGTAGGACGGCTTTTAGCATTAACATTAGCTCACCAGCTCACCAGCACAACTATCGCCACGCCCCAAACCGCACACTTCACACACTACACTTATCAAATTAATCATTTGAACTAATCAATCATTTAAACTAATCAAATTAATCAATCACCCATTACAGAACTGACTCTCTGTGTTTTTCCTTTCTTTTGTTTCCTTTGCCGAGTTGAACAGCTGCCCATCCTGTGCGTCTGATGCTGCTGCCTCTTCTGCCTTGGTCGGGTTCCGCTGCTGCTGCATGAACTAAACTAATCAAATTAATCATTTGTTCACCTGTTTTCCCCGTTTTTGTACTAACAATGTTTACTATCCGGTGTCGGAGGGGGATGGGTTCTAGTCTTGGTCCCTCTCAAGGTTTCTTCCTGTTTCTCTTAGGGAGTTTTTCCTTGCCACTGTCGCCACTGGCGACGCTCATGGGGGCTCGGACCCGGATTTCTTTCTGTAATGCTGATTTCCTTGTAAAGCTGCTTTGTGACAACACCTGTTGTAAAAAGCGCTATATAAATAAACTTTACTTACTTACTTACAGCTAATGAGTGCACTTGTAATATCTATTTATCTATCTATTTTTATACACTATTTAGTGAGCTAGTATGTGGTTTGGGACGAGGCCTATCTTACTGAGATGAATCTTCTTCATCCAGTGAGCTGACGAGTTTCCTCTTCAGATGCTACAGCAGAGTTTAGAGTGAAAAGCTCCCTCACTTCTGAGGATTCTGTTCTTGAGGCTGCCATTGCGCTGTTTTAACTCCAATAAGCGGTAATGTCAAAACGTTCCTGGTGAACGCGAAAAAGACGCATAATGACGTCCCCAACTAATTGACTATTCAATTAGTTTCCGACTCGTTTGGTCGTCGATTTCAGTTGACTAAGTCGAATAATCGTTGCACCCCTAGTGCAAACATGGCAGAAGCCAGTGACAGCGCTCGGGAGAGTTTTCAGCCTTCTAAGAGTCTGAAGTTTGGTCCTACCGTAGTGCATATTTATAGGTAGCTGTGTACATAAAACTCCTAGAAGGACATTCTGACATCTCCTTAATCTAAAAAGCCTACAAGCATTAAAACTACGAAGCTGGAGTCAGTTTCTAATTCACCAGCTTCTTGTTTGAATTTCCCTGTTCTACCGTAAATAGTGCAGCAGTTACATTCTGCCACCTCAGGCATTGTTATTATGCTGCATCATTTAAGGTGGAATGGGAAAATTCAAATAAGAAGCTGGCAAACATGAAGCTGACTTCAGCCTTGTGTTAAAATAGATAGTTTGATGGTTTAAATATCCTTATCAGAAAATGTTTCCAGCATTAAAAGAATAATTAGGACATTTTAAGAGCCTAAATCAGCTTATCAGAGGGGAAGCAGTAATACTGAGCTCAGTCTGCACTTAATTAACATTAAAAACAACATAAAACGCATGGCCACATGGTGCCACCTTTAATGTTACTGCACATTTGTTATGTTTTTTATAGGTCTACAAATGGTATTGTTTATATTATCAATTTAGTGTTTATGCAAACAAACATGCAAAGTACTGGTAATTTTATTTGTGGCTTTCAATATAAAACTTTAAATGATTTCAGTTAGTGTATCTGTAGTTTTGAACATTGTTTGCACATTTTCTCTCTACACTGAGGCCCAATTTGACCTGCAGCACTGTGTAAAGAGATAATCCGGCCCTAAAGCTGAAAAGCTAAAGTCCAATTTTAGAAATTCTTAACATCTCTTGTGAAAACAGCTTTACTCATGTGGACGAACTGCTTGGAACGGGTTTACCGAAGTCTTAAGTTCACAAAAGTAGTGAAATGTATGAATAAAATACTTGATAAATGTTATCGTCATCACTACTTTCCAAAACCGCTGCAGCAGCTTCAGCAGCTGTAAACTCTCTGCACGCCGTTTCACACGAGTCTCCGGTGTGGACTGAATGAAGAATGAAGGGTTTCCGGCGTGATGGTCAGTCCTTAGTGATTTCCTGAGTGTCCATTGGTCAGTTTCACACAGAATGTAGACGGACACACCAATCCACCAGTTCCACACGGTGAGAGGCAGATAACGTGTATCTCAGCCCCTCTTCATAGGCTCATAACTCCGGATGTGAGTCTCGTATGATCTCGTGATAAGATGGAATGGAAAGGGCGACTCTACAGATTCAGGAAGTGTTTGAACTGGATTTCTGAGCTGGATCATCACAAAGATACAGACACAGATATAGAGACAGAGAATTTGACCCCAAAGGGTTAATAAAGTGCTCAGTGAGTGTATGACACTCAGAGTTTCTGCTTTTACTGTTAAGCTTTATCACCTGGCTGTAAAGCACTTTGAGCTGCCATGTGTAGTACAAAAGGTCCTATATAAATAAATACTATTATTATTAGTATTATTATTTTTATTTTTAATACACCTACAGTTTTAAGAGGTTCATTTTTGAGACTTTTTTTTTTGAATAAATGGTACCCCAGCAGAATCGCCCATGGTGCACCACTGGCCTGTAAACACGTACGAGTGTCGTATAAAGAACAAAACAAGAAATGTCTCACCTTTGAGAGAGCAGCCCTGAAGAAAGAGGTTACGGGAAGGCGAGAAGGCACTGCCAGAGAGAGAGAGAGAAAGAGAGACAGAGAGAGAGAGACAGAGAGAGAGAGAGAGAGAGAGAGAGAGAGAGAGAGAGAGAGAGAGAAATAGTTAAGGCCAGAGTGAAGAACAGAGAACATCTCAACTTCAGTGCATGTGTGTGCGTATCTCACCTAGGTGGGGAGGCGGGGGGCGTACAGAAGCCATGCGGTGCAGGAAAGTGCTGCTTTTTCAGAGCTTGGATCAGATTAGGCCTGTACTCGGGGTCCACACACCACAACGAGCCCTTCCCGTTTACCTGCCGCAGCCAGAGAGCAACCAGTTTAACAACAAACAACAATTAACGTCACATTTTCTCACATTTTTTAAGTCAGAAATTCAGTTGTTTGTAAGAAACTCTGTGAAATAAGGTGTTTAAAGTCTACTTGTGTTTTTATTTTTAAAAGAAAGTTTGATGCAGCATGTAAACATCGGAAACGTCCCCAGGCCAAACATTCCATACATGCAAACAAAGCCGCTTAAATAGCCTCAAATTGCTGTTTTTGTGATGTCACAGATACCTACACACTCACATATTTCCACCCATTTCCAGCTTACAGCAGTTTAGCCCCACCCACTCGGACTGAAATTATAAGGAGTGTTTTACCCGGGCTCCTTTTTGAACAAGGGCAGCCAATCAGAAGAGAGCTCATTTGCATATCTCGGGCTTAAAGGCACAGTAACAAAAACAACCTGTTTTATTTTTAAAAAAAATAATAATAATGATAATAAACTGGGATAAAAGAGGTTGAAAACAATGTAAGAATGAATGATGACTGTTTTGGTACATAGAGCCACACAAATGTTATGAATGGGCATGAAAAATGTAAAATATGGGACCTTTAAAAACCGGCCAATGAGTGAGAGAGACAGTGAACCCCATCCTCAGAGTCAGAGACAGTGAACCCCATCCTCAGAGTCAGAGACAGTGAACCCCATCCTCAGAGTCAGAGTGAACCCCATCCTCAGAGTCAGAGACAGTGAACCCCATCCTCAGAGTCAGAGACAGTGAACCCCATCCTCAGAGTCAGAGTGAACCCCATCCTCAGAGTCAGAGACAGTGAACCCCATCCTCCAGAGTGAGAGAGAGTGAACCCCATCCTCAGAGTCAGAGACAGTGAACCCCATCCTCCAGAGTGAGAGAGAGTGAACCCCATCCTCCAGAGTCAGAGACAGTGAACCCCATCCTCAGAGTCAGAGTGAACCCCATCCTCAGAGTCAGAGACAGTGAACCCCATCCTCCAGAGTCAGAGACAGTGAACCCCATCCTCAGAGTCAGAGTGAACCCCATCCTCAGAGTCAGAGTGAACCCCATCCTCAGAGTCAGAGACAGTGAACCCCATCCTCAGAGTCAGAGACAGTGAACCCCATCCTCCAGAGTCAGAGACAGTGAACCCCATCCTCAGAGTCAGAGACAGTGAACCCCATCCTCAGAGTCAGAGACAGTGAACCCCATCCTCAGAGTCAGAGACAGTGAACCCCATCCTCCAGAGTCAGAGAACCCCATCCTCCAGAGTCAGAGACAGTGAACCCCATCCTCCAGAGTCAGAGACAGTGAACCCCATCCTCCAGAGTCAGAGACAGTGAACCCCATCCTCAGAGTCAGAGACAGTGAACCCCATCCTCCAGAGTCAGAGACAGTGAACCCCATCCTCCAGAGTCAGAGACAGTGAACCCCATCCTCCAGAGTCAGAGACAGTGAACCCCATCCTCAGAGTCAGAGACAGTGAACCCCATCCTCCAGAGTCAGAGACAGTGAACCCCATCCTCCAGAGTCAGAGACAGTGAACCCCATCCTCCAGAGTCAGAGACAGTGAACCCCATCCTCCAGAGTGAGAGAGAATGAACCCCATTCTCCAGAGTGAGAGAGAGTGAACCCCATTCTCCAGAGTGAGAGACAGTGAACCCCATCCTCCAGAGTCAGAGACAGTGAACCCCATCCTCCAGAGTCAGAGACAGTGAACCCCATCCTCCAGAGTCAGAGACAGTGAACCCCATCCTCCAGAGTGAGAGAGAATGAACCCCATTCTCCAGAGTGAGAGAGAGTGAACCCCATCCTCCAGAGTCAGAGACAGTGAACCCCATCCTCCAGAGTCAGAGACAGTGAACCCCATCCTCCAGAGTCAGAGACAGTGAACCCCATCCTCCAGAGTCAGAGACAGTGAACCCCATCCTCAGAGTCAGAGTGAACCCCATCCTCCAGAGTCAGAGACAGTGAACCCCATCCTCCAGAGTCAGAGACAGTGAACCCCATCCTCCAGAGTCAGAGACAGTGAACCCCATCCTCCAGAGTCAGAGACAGTGAACCCCATCCTCCAGAGTGAGAGAGAATGAACCCCATTCTCCAGAGTGAGAGAGAGTGAACCCCATCCTCCAGAGTCAGAGACAGTGAACCCCATCCTCCAGAGTCAGAGACAGTGAACCCCATCCTCCAGAGTGAGAGAGAATGAACCCCATTCTCCAGAGTGAGAGAGAATGAACCCCATTCTCCAGAGTGAGAGAGAATGAACCCCATCCTCCAGAGTCAGAGACAGTGAACCCCATCCTCAGAGTGAGAGAGATAGAGAGAGAGAGAAAGAGAGTGAACCCCATCCTCCAGTGTGAGAGAGTGAACCCCATCCAGCGCTGTAATGTTTAGATGTACACTTTTAAAACAGATGGTTCCTTAAGGGTTCTTTAGTAAAGAAATGGTTCTATAAAGAACTATAAACACTCAAAGAACCCCTTGCATGACAAAAGGATTTTCTGACTGATGGTGTTCTATATAAAACCTCTCAGAAGGGTTCTATACTGCACCAATAGGGTTCTTCTATTGTTACAAGCTTGACACTGTCAAATAGAAGAACGCTTTTGGGGTGCTGTATAGAACCACTTTCAAAAAGGTCCTATACAGAACCATCTACAGCACATTCTACATCAATCTGAAGAACGCTTTCATGATGCGAGGAACCCTTTAGTCATGCAAAGGGTTCTCTGAGTGTTCATGGTTCTATACAGAACCATTTTCTTTAGAAAATAACCCTTGAAGAACCATCTTTTTTAAAGAGTGTAGCATTGCTGAGTGTGCAGAAAAATAAGAACACACTTTCTTTAAACACCACATTTACTGTGTGCAGCTCTTCAGTTCTGTCCTTTAAACCAGAAGTTCATCTGTAATAAAAGACTCGTTGTTTGAAGGCATGTAGAACCTGACGCTACAGCGACCTGCGTGAGAACCGCGCTGCAGTAGCGACGGCGCATGGCTGCAGCAGAACTGCCAGTCTGACAGTCTAAGATTAGAAATGAAAATATAAGTATATTTATTTCCAGCTCTGTGGTTCTAACGTAATCAGTTTTGTTTGTGAGTCGGTCAACATGCAACTCGAGTACCCAAGTAAACCGCAACCTGAAAAAGTACACCCTTAAAAAGATGAGTCTTCAAGGGTTCTTTAGTAAAGGGAATGGCTGTACTTAGAACCATGGGTTCTACATAGCACCATCTCATGTTGAAATGGTTCTTGCATGGTGAAAAATGGCTCATCACATTGATGAAGAATGTGCTGTGTATGGTTCTGTATGGAGGCTTTATGAAAATGGTACTATAAAACACCAAAACAGGTTCTTTTATTGTTACAAGCTTGACATCATCATGATAGAAGAACCCTTTTTGTGCTATACACACCGATCAGGCGTAACATTATGACCATCCTCGTTTCTACACTCATTGTCCATTTTATCAGCTCCACTTACTATATAGGGTCACTTTGTAGTTCTACAGTTACAGACTGTAGTCCATCTGTTTCTCTGATACTTTGTTACCCTGTTCTTCAGTGGTCAGGACCCCCATGGACCCTCACAGAGCAGGTAGTATTTGGGTGGTGGATCATTCTCAGCACTGCAGTAACACTGACGTGGTGGTGGTGTTCTAGTGTGTGTTGTGCTGGTCTGAGTGGATCAGACACAGCAGTGCTGCTGGAGTTTTTAAACACTGTGTCCACTCACTGTCCACAAGTCAGAGACGATAGCTCATCTGCTGCTGCACAGTTTGTGTTGGTCATCCTCTAGTCCTTCATCAGTGGTCACAGGACGCTGCCCACAGGACGCTGTTGGCTGGATATTTTTGGTTGGTGGACTATTCTCAGTCCAGCAGTGACACTGAGGTGTTTAAAAACTCCAGCAGCACTGCTGTGACTGATCCACTCAGACCAGCGCAACTCACACTAACACACCACCACCACGTCAGTGTTACTGCAGTGCTGAGAATGACCCACAACCCAAATAGTACCTGCTCTGTGAGGGTCCATGGGGGTCCTGACCACTGAAGAACAGGGTAAAAGGGGGCTAACAAAGTATCAGAGAAACAGATGGACTACAGTCTGTAACTGTAGAACTACAAAGTGCACCTATATAGTAAGTGGAGCTGATAAAATGGACAATGAGTGTAGAAACAAGGAGGTGGTCATAATGTTATGCCTGATTGGTGTAGAACCATATACAACACACTCTCCATCAGACCTCATGGTTCTAGATAGAACCACTCCCTTTATTAAAGAACCCTGGAAGAACTGAGTGTAGCAATAACATCAAGTACTGATAAAGCAGAGTGAAGACGGCTGCGTCAGGAGATAAGTGTTAAAGCAGAACCAGCAATAAAACCTCACGACACTTCAGAGTTCTGCTCCAAAACACTCCGTAATGGCGTGTCTGGATTGGGTTCCACGTATAACAGTGAAAGGACACCTTCAGTCCTTTCTGCCTCTCTAGTGCCCCCCCACCCCCACCAGCACAATGCTCTGATAAGGCTGCTCTATCTGAATGAGCAGGTTCTCTCAGGGAGGGGCTCTGACCTTGACCGGATTCCAGCCTTATCTCACTGGTCCTCCATGACTGTGGGCGCGGTCACATGATCAGCGCTGCCTCGACCAGGAATTTTCGGTTTATGGTGAAGTGTGATGTGTAAACAGATACGGGCAATATGACTATTTCATCGTTATGGGGATCATTTATGTCACAATATGCTTTTCTGAGCATATGGATGTCGTCAGTACTTAAAGAACACTGATTAACTACGCTTCATTACAAAGTGAGCACATTTAGTGAAACAGTGGAAAATCTGAAATAATAAGTTTTCTTTGGGGACTATTTTGCCTCACAGCGCCCTGCATGTATCCCTCCACCATGAATGGAGTTTAAGTTCTCTAAACTATCATAAAACAGTGTCTCAGTCATCAGGCAGTGAATTCATAACCATTTCATGTAGGAACTTTCTGTGAGGGAGCTTTTAGAGGTGGACGTCTGGTTCCTATCACCACCACTGTGAACAGTTCTGACTTGGTAAGTTTATCTAGAACAGAGCGTTTCACACCAAACCATTCTGAACGACTCTGTTTACATCTTAACCACTTAACTATGTAGAAATTCAGAAAAATTGATGCCATTCCCTTTAATATTATGCGTCAGAGTAGGGCTGCCACTAATGACTATTTTTCTATAGATTAATCTATTGACAATTTTACCCATTAGTCGCTTAATGTAAGCAATTCATTTTCTTCTAAAAAATCAAATTATGGCATTGACTGCAAACAAAGAATTATGCTTGCAATAATAGAAGAAATAAAATAATTAATTAAGGTACATGTCCAATCAAGCCCAACGTGCATGAACACACACTCCGGCGCCATCAATCAGCGTAGAATGAGCCCAGATTCTGGCCCAAGCGTTTCCTTAAACACTTATTCAGTGGAAATTCTCAGGTCAGGCAATATGGCTTTAATGATAAATGCATTTAGCAGCTACAAGGAGAAAAGATCTTAAAAATCCTCCCTTCTCCACGGATAGACAAACACTTCCAGGGATTTTGGCTTATCTGGAGGTCTGATCATCCAGATCAGCGCCTGGGTTTTCTGTTCAGGTGCTCGTGCATCACGCTTGGGCTGCTGTGGTACACGAAGCTGAAATTGGCTTCCTAACGCCTCAGGCGCCAGAATGCAACCGCTGCCCCATTTAAGGTGGAACAGGTAAATTCAAAGAAGCTAACGAAAAGAAGTTGACTTCAGCTTCGTCTGTGGTCGCCCACCGAAACATCGCACACTGTACAAACCACCTTTCTGTTTTGTGCTAATGTGAAATACTCCCATACTTTCTATGCCTTGGGTCTCTGGGAACTTTCAGAACCCTCTTTTGTGACCCAGTCTCCGCTGCAGCATCAGGCAGCATCATGATCTTTTAAAACTGTAGTGTTGAATGGCGCCAAAAACAACTGACGTCATACACGCAGCAGTTGTGTAGCGGTATTGAGGAAGAGCATTTAATATTTTAAGTATTTTACTCACAACCTGTCTGTACGTCATTGGCTCCATACCTTACTGGATATCCTATGTCTGGAACTGTTATCTGCAAGAATTAGCCATGCTGACCCTGGAACACTTAATACATGGATTCACTGAATTTTGTGGACCCTTGTGCTTGCTTGGCTATTTGCTGTGTTTAAGTTGTGAACGATGTAACTCAATTCTCATGTGTCCTATGTTGTGGCTATGTTGTAGCTTTTCTTCTCTTCTTTTGTAAGTCCTGTGTGTTTGTGGGTCGGAGCTGGAATGGGGGGTTGTTATTCTTTAAATGGAAAATAATAAAAAAAATGAATCACAAAAAATATTTGAAGTATTTTAGAAATCAAAAAGGTAAATATATAAAAATAATGTAAAAAGCGATACGTCGATTTAAAATCTTGATGCCAATGCACTTTCAGCATCGACGCCGTCGATTATCTCCACTAATCGCGACCGCCTTACGTCAGAGCTCACTGACATCAATTCATTAATCATCCTCTGTAACACTTCATTACCATAACTACGTCATTTCTACTTCTGAGAAAGGCTTTGTGCCCAAATCTCAGCCAACTTTGTTGCTGTGTGGCATCTTATTAAGTATCTTCATTGTTAGCTGAAGAGCGGGTGCTTGTAACAGTTCCTTATAGAGCTGTAAAGGTGAATACATAAGGATACGATACTGTGGTGTTCTGTAGATGGGAGGTGCTGAACTGGGTCTGTGAGATAAGTTGTGGTCAAACACTGCAGATAAGAAGGTGCTAAGCATGTCACGTAGCCAAGAATCTAGAACTGATAACCCACCGATAAACGTCTGACTTTGAGCTCACCTTTCCGAGGCTCTTCTCCACCTTACGGAAGCACTTATTGAGGGACAGGTTGTGGCGCACCGAGTTCTTCCAGCCGGTAGGAGCGCTCGAGAAGTAGGGGAAGTGCTCCAGGATCCAGCCGTAGATGTCTTTCACGGGCAGAGACTTGCTGGGCGACTGCTCGATGGCCATGTAGATGAGCAGAGAGAAGGAGAACGGGGGCTTGGACTTGAGTGAGTCCCTGTCTCCTGCACGAGACGACGCGGACGAGCCGGACGAGGCGGCTAAGCGAGCGCGGTCGCCTTCGATGTCGAAGAGCGGGCCGGTGCTGGTCTGGGCCTCGGGCCCACCGAGCGTGAAGTTCTGCAGAAGGTTCTCGTGGAGCCAGTTGAGGTTGGTGAGCTCCTCGTCGTCGGTGCTGGGGGCGCGGTCCAGGCTGGTGGCCAGAGGGCTGGAGGCGCACTCCGCCTCGGGCAGCGTGCCCGTCCCACAGCCTCCCCGCAGGCCCACCCGATCCTCCAGCGCACCTGGGGATTCTGCTTTCTTATCTGGCGACATCCCGATGATTGGACCCATTAAACCAAGGAGGTCTGGACAAGAGAAGGGAAGAAAAAAGAAACGTCAAAAAAAATGTCAATTTCATCAAAATTTCAACATCAAAAATGTTACACAGTCACTTTATTTTTTTTATTTGAATTGATTTTCACTCTTAAGTATTCTGTCTTTATTTTTCCTTTAGATATTCCTTCTTGCTTTTATTTACGTAAAGCAATTATCTTAAGCACATAAATGGCAAAGCTGTCGTCACTTTAAACATTCCGCCTTAGCACTTTCCAGCAATTTCCATCAGGAATTCACTGCGTCGTTTTAGCCCATTTTTAAAAACCCACAAACACAATTGCAATCGATTCCCCAACATGGGTTAAAATCTTTATTGTGTTTGACTGAATAGAATCTGCTCAGACCTGAATCATCAAACATGTCAAAATATGTCAATTTCACCAAACTTTCAACATCAAAAACACAACACATTTTAGGTTACTGTCACTTTATTTTTTACTTTTGATTTTCACTCTTAAGAATTTTGTCTTAATTTTTCCTTTTGATGTTCCTTTTCTTTTGTGTAATGCAATTTTGTACAGCACATAAACGGCAAAGGTTTCAGTCACTTTAAACACATCGCCATGGCAAATTCCCACAAATAATTCAGTGTGATTTTAGCCCGTTTTTAAACACACTATCACAAATGCTTTCCCAGTACAGGTTTAAATCTCTTCTCTGACTTTATTGTGTTTGTCTAAACAGAATCTAATCTGACCTGAACTGTGAAAAATGTCACTGTAGACTGTCAATTTCATCAAAATCTCAACATTAAAACATTTTTAAGCTACCATCACTTTATTACTTATTGATTTTCACTCTTCAGCACTTTGTCTTTATTTTTCATTTTGATTTTCTTTTTTGTTTTTATTTATGTAAAGCACACTGAATTGCCTCTGTGTGAAATGTGATATGTAAATAAACTTGTCTATATTGTGTTCACAGTTTTTAAACTGTGTTTTAAAAAAGAAAAATAATCATTTTCGATGTATGATGATACTGCTCGCCTGACACCGTGCACAACACTGGGAGCTATTAAGGTTCAACCACACAGCTTAAAAAATATCTAGAGGAAACACCGTATATCTACATCACACTATTGCACAAGATCAACACACTGATTAACTTAAATACATCAATTTAGCTTCACGCAACAGAAGAAGAAGGAAATATTTTAAAAGTGTACGCTTCCCCCCCCCCTCTCTCTCTCTCCCTCCCTCCCTCCCTCTCAGTGGAGAGGCTCTCCTTCAGAGGGTCAGTGATGAGCTCTCCTCGAGTGGCCAAGATGATTTTAGTCGCCCTCTCATCCACGCCCACCTCCTCAACCACAACCAGCTGTTAGACAGCCTTCAAGGAGGTTGGTTTTCAATCGAAAACCATCCACAGAATCACTCCAGCCACACTGGAGACGCAGGAGAGGCTCCAGATCAAACTCAAGGATTAAAGAAAAACACTAAAGAGAAGCACCTCCACCTCTCAGGCACTACAGCTCAGATCAAGATAACCAGGCTTCTTACACAGACTCTTACAGGTGCTCTTACAGGAGCTCTTTACAGAGCAATGCTCAAGATTCAAGAGTTTTATTGTCATATGCACAGCAGAAACAGGCAGTTACACTGTACAATGAAATCTTACTTTGCTGTTTCTCCATTCACCAAATATAATCTTAATATAATCTTAGAATTAAAAAATAGAGAAATAAAGAAAAAAAAATATATATATATATATATATAAGAATAGCACAAAGTAAAACAAAAGTAAAGTACAGTTATGTGTGCAAAGTTGAAGAAGAGTTACATGTGCGTAGTGCAAGTATGTAGAGCAGTGCTTCATAAAGTGCATTGAGAGATGTAAACAGTAGTGCTCTGACAGCAGCAGTACAGTGTGTGTAAGGTGCAGTTATTTAGTGCAAAGTCGGCCAAAAGTTAAACCAGTTCAGAGTGGGAGGGGGGAGAGGTAGTGAGTGAGGTGTTCACAAGCCTGATGGCCTGTGAATAGAAACTGTTCGTCAGTCTTGTAGTCCTGGACTTCACACTCCTGTAGCGTCTGCCTGAAGGTAGGAGTGTGAAGAGTCGGTGCCGGGGGTGTGTACTGTCCCTGATCATGTTGTGGGCCCTCCTGATGACCCTGGTGTGGTAAGTGTCCTGTAGTGAGGGGAAGGCTGCTCCTGAGATGGACTGTGCAGTTTTGATCACACGCTGGAGAGCCTTTCTGTCCTGAGCAGTGCAGTTTCCATACCAGACCGTGATGGAGCTGGTAAGAACACTCTCGATCGTACTCCTGTAGAAGGTGCTGAGAATTCTGCCTGGCATGCCAAATTTCCTCAGCCTTCTCAGAAAGTACAGTCGCTGCTGGGACTTCCTGATGATGAGGTGTGTGTTGTGAGACCAGGTGAGATCCTCACTGATGTGGATGCCAATGAATTTGAAGGTTTTCACCCTCCCCACCTCTGTCTCACCTATGTTTACAGTAGACGTGGGAAATATGACAATATTTTATCATTATCAGGGCCAGGGATACATCGATACCGATACTGGTATTGGGAATCAGAGTGATACCGCGCTCATTTACTTGTACTCATTAAAATGCACGAAACCGTGTGACGTAAACCGAGTGTAGCTGCCACGGTAACAAACAAAGGCAGTGAAGGAGGATCTGCTCACACAGAGAAGAGTTACAGACTCCTAAAAAAGGCCGTCGCTCACTTTAAACATTCCGCCTCGGCAGATTCCCACCAGGATACACTGAGGGATTTAGACCGTCTTAAACACGTCTTCTTAATGCTTCCCAAATACAGGTGGAGACGCGCAGGCCAACAAAACAGAGGCGAAAAAGTTGACATTTGTTAAAGTCTGTGTACAGAACTCCACTCTGACTGAACAGAACTGCGATGTATAAACGTTGATACAGGGGTGAGCAATATGGTGATATCTTATGTCACGTGATAAATTATGTCACAATACGCGTGTCTGAGCTAGGGCTGAAAGATTAATCATTTTCATATTGAAATCACAATTTAAGAGTGCAATTTTCAAATCACAAGAGCTGCAATTTTAATTATAGCCACTTTTATCAGCAATGTTGTCTTAAGTAGGGAACATTAACCTAATATCAGAGCTTGTGAATGAGTGGACGAGTGGCTGTGGATGAGCTAGAATAATCAAGGCGACCAAACAGCTACACGCTGTGACATCACAACCACAGTTAACTCGTAGTTTGGCATGTTCAGTGTTCAAGACTGAAGCCAGAAAAAGTGGATGTTCTGGTCTTCTTGGCCAAAATAACAGACCTGGACTTAAATTTACAGACAATAACTGCAGTGGATGCAGTCAGTATTTAAAGAACTGTGTTACGTTACATCATTACTAAGTGAGCACAACTAAGCCTGTTTAACTGGATTTAGTGCAGTGCAGTTTGTAAAACACTGAATAAAAATCGTTGTTGTAGTTTATCGTTATTGTTTTAGTATTTTCTGTGTGGCACTACAGGTTCTGCTTTGTTACAAGTGAAATCTCAGAAAAATGAAATATCGTGATGCATATTGTGTATCGTGAAAATGTCTTATAATATTTTTGTCCTGCTCAACCCCACGTTAGCTGATATTGTCTTTGTAAAACAGGCTGTAGAGAGACAATATCGTCCGACTGTGTGCATTACAGAAGTTTGGAAAATTGGAAAGAGGGCGATTAAAATGTTGCATTTTCACCATTTGAAAAAAAATGCTTTGGTGTGCAAGACACTGTTTATAAACATGCTCTAATTAATCTACTGTTGTTCGAATAAACTGCACAAATAAATCGCTTTCGGTGTGTAAAAGCTTAAAACAGTTCTGTTAAAACAAAGTCACTGTTTCTCTGACTTGGTGGTTTGTGCGTTTTCTCCATCTTCTCGTCATGAAACACAACACAAACCAGAATACTGATTTCAGCATTAAAAATACTGATTTAAGTATTAAAAATACTGATTTAAGTATTAAAAATACTGATTTCTGCATTAAAAATACTGATTTCACCATTACAAATACTGGCACTTCAAATGGTTGAACGAGTTCCACATCACCAGTTAACACGCGCTGTCATTCCCCATTTAGCCACAACAGGACTGTCAGGCTGAATCATGTGACTAAAACCGGTTTAACTCAATGTTTTCTTATCTACCACAAAGCAATGTGTGTCAACAGAGGGTTATCAGACGTCAGTTAAGTCCATCTGCACAAATATTATGTTCATAAGAGGGTGGGGGTGGAGGGGTGCGGTGGCCCTAGTCACAGCATTAAGAGAGAAAGCAGGTCAGTGGCGTTAAGAGAGAATCAGCCAGTGCCTCCTGTCTACTCACACCAAGCTTAAATCTATGCCCTCAATGTCACCATGACAACCAGGCTTTCACTTCAATTAGGGGGATGGGAGGGGTGGGGTGGTGGGGGGGGTGGCTCAGCCAGAGGAGTGAATGAGAACGGCAGGGAAAGTCCATCCAGCTCAGCCATCAACCAGATTCATCATCTTCCACATCATCCTCCCCCAAAACGCTCAGCCCAGGCAGACGCGTGCAAGCCAGACACCCCGGTCTGGGTCGGGGGGTTTGGGGGGGTGGTGGTGGTGTAGGCTTTCACTGGTGGCTTTAGGACAAAAGTGGGTCACACCGGTGGTTTGTGGCAAGTCTAAGAGGCAGACATGAAAACTCATGAGCAGTGAAAACGAAGAGTTCAGAAACCAACTCGCTGCATCGCTGCGTCCAGAATAATGATTTTAACATGAAATGTTATTTGGTTTTCTTGAGGTCTACAACTGCGCAAACACAAATCCAGGCATTTTGATTTATTTGTTAAAAATCTGTTGCTTACCACACCAGTTATCAATAGGACAATGCGTCGAAAATTTCCTCTGAGACCCCACAGCCACCAAAAATAGAGTCCATTCTTAAAACGCATCATTTGTATGATGTTACGGGGTGCCTGGACCCCTAATGATCGCCACTTGCGTGTTCTACATCA